GAATATATATATTTTATTAAGTTTATAATATTTGTTTTATTAGTTCACTGTTCTCCATGCATTTTTAAAAATAAAACCAAATTAACAATTTAGTGACATTTTTGAGGACCCCCAGGACATCTTGCAACATAATCATGTTTTTCTCTGACAAAATCAAACTAAACKTTTTCCTGTTTTATGTTTCCTTAAACAAATTCTATTTGTTAAATGGCCAAAATAATAAGAGAGAGAATCCATCCCCAGTTTGAGAACCTCTATTCTAGACATTAAAGTCACTTTCTGACACTTGCACTGCTTTGGTTGCACTTTAACTCCAATTTTTTTGGTCTTTTCTGTTTGTTTAACACTCACATTGAGAAAAATCCATTATTTTTCACTGTACTGAACTTGTATACAAGGAAACAGAGGTGCCCATGGACAGTTCCCTAAAATATATCACAGTGGATGTTTAGAAACGTCTCTTTTAAACCGACACATCWTGTAGTTGTGTGCATTTCAGTGAAAAAAAAGTTGGGCTTCATCAAAAAGACAAATCCCATCTACACCTGAAGAGAAATCGGCACCATCTGAAACATAACCAAATCCCTTCCCTCCTTAGCCGAGCGCAGCTCCCCGCCTCGAACTAAATGTTTCAATCAAAAGGTTTWTATCCTCCTGTGGCAGATTGTCTTTGTTTTCCGTCGGATTTGCCCCCAGTTAAGCTTTGATTGCACTGTGCGAGTAATGGTGTGTTGCGACAGATTATCACTTTCAGCTTTTTGCACCTTTCATCAGGGAACGCCGTGTGTTTTTGACTCTTTGGGGTTGTTTGTAACCGATGGACGTCTGATGTGATCTTCGTTTTACCTCCCTGTTCACCTCTTTTTGTTCTTACGCTCACGGTTGAAAGAAATTCAGACAATTCGACACACTTCTTGGTGATTGTCCACATCTCGAAATCTTGCGACTCTCCTGCTGGTTATCCCAATCACACTTCTATTTTTTTCTCCCCTTTTCCCCCTCTGCACTTACATCAAGTCTCACTTCATGGGAGAATGATGAAATAGTTGGAGAAGTCGGGAAATCGGTGTCTGGTGAAATGGTTTTGGACTCGGAGMTAACTGAGCCCTTGTGGGGGGAAAGAAGAAAGCCTGCCGGCTTTAGAGTGGCGTTTCCTGAGTGACGGTGTGCGTGTCCTGTGTCGCTGAGTGTGTGTGTGAGTGTGTGAATGGGAATTTTACGGGGCTTGTTTAAATCAGAATGGACTGTTTCTTGACTTCTTTGCTGGAGTAGTTGAAACCAGATGTTTACATACACTGTATAAAAAGAGACACAACTATGTTTTTCTCTGTTTGACATAAAATCAGACTAAACCTTTTCCTGTTTTATGTTTCCTTAAACACATTCTATTTGTTAAATGCCCAAAATAATGAGAGAGAATCCATCCATCCTTTATCTATACACACTTCTTCCTTTCAGGGTCATGGGGGTCACTGGTCACTAGTGTCCATATCCAGCAGTCACAGTACAAGGGATGGGGTACACTCAGGACAGGTCGCAAGTCCTTTAAAGGGACTCGTAGAGACAAACGAGACAAATAAAACAATAAAACAACCATTCACTCTCTCTGAGAGAGCGAGAGAATGGTTTATTACCCTTAAGAGTTGCAAATTTCCATTGATGTTTTTGATATTTAGTAGCGATACTTTTAAACCATATGACTTTAGGTAAATGTTTTGTTTCCCTCCACAAACTTCTCACAACAGTTTGATGGTATTTTGTCTCATTCTTCCTGACAGAACTGGTGGAGGTGAGATCAGGGCTTTGTAAAGACTGGGCCTGTCATGGTACCAAATTTTGCTGGACGATAGATTGTCTCAAATTGTTTAGAGACCATTTTAAACTAATATAATGATACACCCCACTTATGAACATTTTTGAAATTTACATTTGTAAAAAAAAATTTATGAACTAAACTATACTGGAGATTGGGAAAACAACATAACAACAGCTACTGAAGCTGTAAAATTGCTTCTCACCTCCTCTATCCAAACCCAATTTACTCTGTATGTGTCTTCATCTGGCTTCATAAAATAACTGCAGCCACMCTYGCCGCTTACAAAATTKATAGAAGTTTACAAAATTTACAGAAAGTTACGATCGGGCCGGGAGCAGAGTTTGTGAAAACACACAACAGCTAGACCATGAGACCATGAGCCTGGTAAATATCTGACGCCAGAGCTTAATCCTCTCTGCGCTAAGGAGTAGAAAAAAGGGAGACGCAAAGAAAACAAACGAGCAGAAAAACAAGGTAGAACTTGATGCCAAAGCATTGACTGGTATGCCTCCGCCTGCCCCAGACTCATGCAGTTACCTGTTGACCTCTATTTTTGGACTTAAATATTCTAAGAAGCATGTAACTGTATCAACAATGTCTAAACATGACCTCCTCTTTGATATTTATCATATCATTAATTTCAGTGACCAACCACGTATGTGTACCATCCAAAATTAGTAAAAAAAAAAAAGGGCAGTTTTATATTACCAATCATCATAAATGACCTTTGACCCTTTGATGCCCAAACCTAATCAGACTGAGTACTACCCTAATGGAGTTACTAAACCTTTATATAAATAAATATGGAATTTCATTCATGGGGATATCGTGAACACAAGACCACCATGATGGACTGACCTCACTAACACAGACAGAGAACAGTATAATAATTATCGACCTCATTTCAATTTATGATGTAATTGATTTATTGCTTATTGCGACAGRCCTAGTAAAGACCACTGCAAAACATTGACTTGGTTGTCCRTAAACCAGTTTATAACTAATTTGGTTGTATGTTTATGATAATTGTCCATTTGAAAACCCATTTGTGTCCAAGCTTGAATTTCTTGGTTGATGTCTTTCATATGAATGTTCCATCTTCATGATGGATCTATTTTGTAAAGTGCATCAGTCTCTCCTGTGGCCAAACAGCCCCACAGCATGATGCTGCCACCCCCGTGCTTCACAGTTTGAGTGGTCAGTCTTCACCATTTGAAACAGTTCATTCTTGGTTTCTTTAGACCACGGGTCATGTCTATGAAAATTACGTTTTTTGTCACTGTGTTAAAGTTCTCTCTCTCATTATTTTTTTCATTTACCAAATATAAATATTGTAGGAAATTGTTTTCTCTGCGTTATTTGCCTCCCTTCTTGTCTCTATTCTCTTCCACATGTTCTCTTCTCACCCGGTTCCCTCGTCTCCCTCCACCTGCAGGGCTGCTCGTCCCCCATCGTGGTGAAGTTCGCCGACACGCAGAAGGACAAGGAGCAGCGGCGTCTGCAGCAGCAGCTGGCGCAGCAGATGCAGCAGCTCAACAGTGCGACCACCTGGGGGAGCCTGACAGGCCTGGGGGGCCTCACTCCACAGTATCTGGCAGTAAGAGCCGCCTCCACCACCTCCGCTATCACCTGCTTTTCTTTTCCTTATTTCAAATTCAACAAAATAAGAAACTAGAAACTGTGTGATTTCCTCCATTGTCTTATGTTTACTCAAAAACATAAAGTTTAATCAAACTGTGTGGTTGGACTTTACTGAGAGGACTAATCCTCAGGTCAGTTCAGCACCTATAAAACCTCTGGTCAGTGTTGATTTATCACTGATAGTTCACTGAATTGCAGCCAGCTTTACCGWCTTTGATTATGTTTTCTCTTGATGCCAGAAAGTTTGATATGGA